CATCTTCTCTTGTCAAACGGTGACTGTGTTGTTGTGTGTCGTCGTCCACTTGCAACCTCGGCGTCTTCCTCGGTTGCCAGCGTCGCCGGACTACCCAAATCGTCACTTCCGCTTACCCGAGCAGCCACACGACTCAGCGATTCTTACCTGTCAACCCGCTACTGTAGTTTCTCTTTCCGCTCACGGCCTCCCTCGTCGATCAAGTTGCAGAAACACAACCAATCCGAGGCGAAGACGCATCAATTATTTCCCGCAGTGGCTGCTGCACCAGCAGACTGGCAACTCCTGGAAACTCTACAAACAAACAAAATCACGAAAAAAAAAACTCGTCCTTGAGCGCCACAATCCCTCCGCCAAACACTCGCCGCCGTTTGCGCGAAAATTCGCCCAACATGCCTGGCATTCTCCCAATGAAGGTCATCAAAGTCGGCACCAGCGCCCAGAGCCGCATCGCCCAGGCCTGCGACCGCTGCCGCAGCAAAAAGATTCGCTGCGACGGCGTCCGCCCGACCTGCTCCCAGTGTGCCAATGTCGGCTTCGAGTGCCGCACGAGCGATAAGCTCTCGCGCCGCGCCTTTCCGCGCGGCTACACGGAATCGCTCGAGGAGCGCGTCCGCGCGTTGGAGACGGAGGTCCGCGAGCTCAAGGATTTGGTAGACGAAAAGGACGAAAAGATGGACATGCTGTCCGCCATGCACAAAGGCCTCCCACGCCGACTGTCGACGGCGTGGGCGTCGCCGCCGCTGCACCACGACGCAGGTAGTCAGGCATCAAAAGATGGAATTCTCGACAAGGAGGACACTTTTCGCGTGCAAGCATCACCGTTGTTACTGGGCGTGGAGAATTCCGATGCCTACTTTATGGGAGCCTCCAGTGGCCGCACATTCATTAGTACGTTGGCACTGCTGACATGGTCGACAAATTATGCTTTTATCCCGCGCTCTATACCTAATTTGCTGACTTTTCTTTTTTTTCTACAGCGGCCCTGAAGCGTAAGCTGCAAGAGAGCGGGAAGCCGTGCAGCGAATTCAATCCCGAGGCTTTCCTGCATGTGCAGGGCTGCCCGCCGCTTACGCCTAACCCACCCGAGGCCTCCCTCAGAATACCACCTCGCCTATTCACTGATCGATGCGTCAATGTCTACTTTCAGGAATGGGCGTCGCTGTTCCCCGCTCTTCACAAGCCGACGTTTTTACGCGTCTACGAAGAGTTTGTCGCCGATCCCGAAAAGGTCAAGTGCAACTACAAGATTGCCCAGCTGCACCTCGTCTTCAGCCTCGCCGGGCTTTCTTCGTCGGCCCCGGATCTGGAGCAGCTGGCCGCATGTGAGCGACAATGGACCCGCGCCCTCGAGGCTGTCCTCTTGGAAAATACCATGAGCGCGTTACAGTGTCTCGTGCTGGCGCTATTATACTGCTCTTTGACGGCCGACTACAGACGTCTGCAGCATTACAAGTCAATTGCTGTCGGGTTAGCGTACCGCCTCGGTCTTCACCAGAGCCAAAAGCGATTCTCTTTTGGTGCGCTGACACTTGAAACGCGAAAAAAGGTCTTTTGGACATTATACACTGTCGATTGGTAGGCATGACTGCTCATGACAACCTTGTCTAGGAACTACTAACACTTTGCAGTTTCTCTGCCGCCACTCTGGGTCTTCCCAAACTCCTGCGTGAGGCAAACTTGCAGGTCGAATACCCCTCCGACACAGATGACGAGTATGTTACCGAAAAGGGCTTTCAACCTACTCTTCCGGGCGAGCACACGCGTTTGTCCAGTGCGCTGGCCCTCTTCCGCGCCACCCGCATTTTAGCCAAGGTTCTCGAGAGAAACTATCCGTCGGCCACCACCTATGATCTCTCGCTGCAACAAATGGATGCTTTGGATACGGAGTTGGAGAGCTGGTACGATGCGCTACCGGCGCACTTGAAGCTGCGGTTCGCGCAAGACAAGCCGTCCACTGATATCACTGGCAGCCGATCTCCTCTTTTGGTAAGAGTGCACGTATTAATCGTAGAGTTGCGCCTGCTAACAACAAATAGGCCCTCGCGTACTATTTTATCCGCACCCTCATATACCGACCGGCCATAGGCTCCGGCCTAGGAAACAAGTCGGCTCCAGCGCTCATGTCCATTGCGGAATCGAGCAAACACATCATCCAGATATCGGAGCTCCTGGAGGAGCGCAACCTTTCCTTTTCCTTTTGTCTGAACAAGGGCGATTTGCTCACGATGAGCGCGTTGGCGCTGCTGTACCAGGTCGTGGATCTCAAAGCCGAGAGCAAGGTGGCGCGGGACAGCCAGCGTCTTGTCAATTCAGTGGTGGGCACCGTTGATCGGTTGCGCTCACCCGGCTGTGTGGATCTTCGAAGAATCGCGAGCACACTGGTAACTGTAGATGAACCATCACTGCCATCGCCCGCGTCTTCCTCGTCCAGTCCGCGTCGCTGCTCCACTTCCAAGTCGCCCGTGGCAGAGCAGCCGAGAAGGCGAAAGAGCGGAAGTGAAAGGAATCAGCATCAACAACTAAAGAATCATCATGCCGCTACGCAGGATAGGTCGAGACGACAGACGATGCCGGCATTGGTCTCGCCCGATTCCGAACTGGAGCTGGCGCGCAGCCGCGGATCCTTTGACAGTGTGCAGTCGGAAGGCTATACCGGCACAGAAGACTACATGTGCATCTCACAACTGCCCAGCGGTAGCCAACACGCACAGCCGTCCCTGGCAACCCGACCGAACCTCGACTACCTGTCCCTGAACGCGACGCCCAACGGCTCCCGGTCACACTCCCCCGGCTCTAAGCGGCAGCTCCCACTCGACCACCAGGCTCAACTCCACCTCGCCACCATGATGACCAACACACAATTTGCGAGCAAGGTGGCCGGCGTCAGCAACAATGAGTGGGAGGCCCTGCTGGGGTCCATGGAGGGTGGCTTGGATAACGTGTACAATGCGATTTACGGTGGCGCTACGACGCTAGTAAGCGAGCCGGTGCTGGCCACGGGCAAAGCCAGCGAGTGGTCGCCGGATTCGTGGGACCTCAGCAGCTTCAGCCTCGGCGACTTTACCGCGTCTGAAGCGCCGCAGAGCGTGCTGAGCTTGAGCGACGAGAGTTTGAGCTCTGGGGAGGAAGTCTCGCCGCCGGCCATGGGCCAGCTGGGCGGGGGCTACCAGAAGCAGATGCACGCGGCGGGTGGCGAGGCGTTTAACATGGATGGTTTGGATGGGTATTTGATTTGATTTTTTGCATTCTTTTTCTCATGATCATGACAATAATGCTTTATTTCCTACTGGGTGGTGTATATTTAATGGCAGCGATAGGGTTGCCTGCCCAATGTATTTATCAAGCTTTTTAGTCAGTTGGCCAGCAATCGAGCATGCGACCGCCTTGGCCAGCAATACCTGGATTTTACGAGACTTCCTTTTCAACTTGACATGTCTGATGAAGTGAATTACTGCCACTTTTTGTTTTAGTTGTCGTGTCAGTTGGGTCTCCCGTCTCGTTTATTCCTTCAGACCTTGCGATTGCTACATCACAGTGGGGCACAAAATGGCCGTTTTTTCGATTTCTCACCAAAACTCACAAGTTTCTAAGCTTGATAAAAATCACTATAGTTAAGGTAAAATTCTATAAAAATCCAAGAGTATGGTATTCAAGTTCCCATCGTAGAGCAGCCGCAGTAATATCCTCTTTGCTCAGACCCCGTGCCAGAGAGGGATCGTTCAACGCCGACTGTGCAAACGCAGCAAAGGGCCCATTCTTTACGAACAACCAGAGTATCCGCGTAGTTCTAGCAATTTAAGAGAGCGGGTAGACATAATGCCGCTCTAAACAACCGTATAGACAGACATTTGCCATTTCAGCACCCCTGCGATATTCTAAGTGAGTCAGTGCCGCCCTTTGTGCAGTGGGCTCGATTCTTACTGCTGCAGCTTTGCCTTATAGTGTCAAATAAGTATTGCTGTCTTCAACAAATACCCCGCCTGGTTAGCTCAATCGGTAGAGCGTGAGACTCTTACGAGAGTACAACCATCTCAAGGCTGCGGGTTCGACCCCCGCATCGGGCTTTTCCTATACAAGCGCCAACTGGCGCATTCTTTTTGCATTTTTTGCCCCGGATTAAATCATGGGCGTAGGCTGCTTGGTTGATTTTTTTTGGCCTGATTTCCTTGGGTATGGTTGCTAGTTGGAGGTACTTTTGCCTGTACCTACGGAGGTGCTCAGTACCTCTTAGGATAATGTATTTTTCGCTCCCTCCAAGGACTACAAGTTACTTATTCAGCATCCAGGTAGCAAAAGGGAAAGCCACAAAACACTTTATCAAAGTGGCAAGGAGAAAAGGGAATTAAAACAACAAGTATTAGAAGGACAGAAGGACAGAAGGTAAAAAGAGTAAAGAGAAATAAACTGGAAAGATAGAGTTAACAAAAAGTATGAAAATAACAAGATCAAGATCATTTTATTTCTACCTCGTGCTTTACTTTGTCTCGTCGGTGCCCAGCGGCCCACTGGGTTTGCGCTTGAATTTTGCTGATTCCTCAAACATGCTCCTGCTGGAATGCCCAACTCCCGAGTGTGGATGAATTTGAATGACAAGTCCGCAGCCCCTATACTGCGGTGCCTGGTCTCGCGGAAACAGAGTCGGAGGTACAGGGTAAGCTGCTTTGACTTGGTGAAAAAAGCTGGAGGAAAGCTGCTCGGACCCGCGGGCGGAGTTGGTGGGGGTTCCGGGATCGCTTATCTCCGGGAGGCCACGGGACGGACTGACGTATCCGTATAATACCTGCCCATGAATCTTTGCTTCTACATCCCAAAGTCTCATTTTCCTTTCCTACCATCACCGCCACGAAAATATCATGGATGATTCCGATTCCCTCTTTGACGACCTCCCTGACGGTGCGTTGCCTCTCCCCCCCGGCCTTTAGCCTCGGCCAACACTGCCCCCCCGTATTCGCACCGGCCGGCGCGTGGTCGGACAACTCCCAGAAAAATTGGCGAAAAAAAAAGCGAAGAGAACGAGACGAAGTTTCTGACAAGAATGAATTTGACAGCGCCGTTTGCGGCCGCCATCCCCTCCTCCAGAGACCCCGGGCGTCTCCTGCCGCAAACCGTCGCCCACCGCGGCTTCCGGGCGGCGTGGCCCGAAAACAGCCTCGATGCCATGCGCGCCGCCGTCGACGCCGGTGCGCACGCCATTGAGACGGACGTGCACCTGACCCGCGACGGTGTCGTCGTCATGTCTCACGTAACGCCTCCTCCTCCCCTTTCCTCATGCCCCTTTAACTGACCGGCGCGGTGATGGGAGCAAAGGACGCTACGCTTACACGCTGCTTTGGCGTCAGGAAGAAGATTGCCAGCTGTGATTGGGAGTACATTGAGACGCTCAGGAGTATCAGGACGCCGCATCTGGGCATGCCGCGGCTGCGTGACGTGTTGGAGCTGCTGAACGAGGAGCGCATGCAAAAGACGTGGTGTGTGCTGGACATCAAGGTAAGCCCAAGCCTTCATTTTGTGACTAGAGACTGCGATTTCTTTGTTGCTGATGAGAGGCAGATGGACGATGATGCGGAGCAGTTACTGTCCAGCATGAAGCACGTCCTGGACACCGTCAAGGGTCCTATTCCGTGGGAGAAGCGCATCCTCCTCGGCTGTTGGAACGTACGCCCCCCCCCTTCACACTCGTTTCTTCAGAACAAAGGCTCACCCAGCAACACACAGGCCACATACATCACCGCAGCGCGGCGCATCCTCCCCAGCTACCCGCTGTCGCACATTTCCTTTTCGCGCTCCTACTCGCGGCATTTCGGCGCGGCGCTGCCGAACCTGGGCTACAGCCTGCACTTTTCCGCGCTGTCGGGCGTGCTCGGGCGGCGTTTTCTGCAGCAGCTGCGGAGCGGCCCCGTGCTGACGTGGACCGTCAACCAGGACAACTGGATGCGGTGGCTGCTGGACCGGCGTGTTCTCGACGCCGTCATCACCGACGACCCGCGGCAGTTTCGCGCCGTCTGTCGCGTCTGGGAGGACGAGCTGGACGGGCGGCGCGAGCGGCCGCGGGTGGGCGTCGTGGCGGCGGCGCGGCGCGGGTGCGGCGACGGGCTCGAGGCGCTCAAGTTTGCGCTGCTGTGGGTCGTGCTGCACGTCGTGACGAGGTTCTCCAGAAGGCTGGATACGCTGCCGGACGTGATGAAGCGCAAGAGTCGGTAGGAGCTTGCTGGGAAACGTGGACGGTGGATGGGGATGATGCGACTGTGGGATAGAGTATAGATTTGAACTGATACAAGGGTACGGAATAGACATGGGTGGAATCATGGAAGCGGGTGTTGCAATATTTGGACCGCGGCCATGTTTATTGGTATATATTTCGGAAGCCTTGATTATAGTCTGTGTATAGTTCATGTATTAACAAAGCATACAGAAACGCCATATACTCCCTCCCTCCCATCAACGGACACAAAACGCCCCAGCAACATAACCCCTGAAACCCCGCAAACTGGTCATTTTACTCCAATTGCTAAGGAAAACGAATGTATCAAAAAGACAACTACAATATCCCTTTTTACCCCCGGCCCAGCCCCCTGTCATCACCTCCCATGTCTCTGCCTTTTCGTTAAATATCAATATCAATATCTAGATCCAGCGAGCCAATCACGTCATCATCCATGAGCGGCTTGTGAATCATCGGCAGGCCCTTGCTGTCCGCCTGGCTTCTGTCCTGCAACTTGGCCAGGTGCGGCAGCAGAGCCCCCGGCTTGATCGGCGCCACCGTCGGCGTCCCATTGGCCGTCGCCGGCGTGCTCACACCACTCGCCGCTTTACTTCCTCCACCGTCCGCGCCGGCGACCGTCTCATTCACGTCGTGCACAAACTTGGCCTTGGTCCGCAGACGCCGCGACGGGTCCTCCTTGACCATTTCGCCGCGGCTCAGCGACAGTTCATTCTCACGCATCCTGGCCTTTTCGCGCAACTGTGCCTTGCGCACGCCTTCTTGGTTCATGCGGCGATTCTCCTTGTTGCGCGCCGCAAGGCGGTCCTGCTCCGTCGACATCTTCGTAATAGCACCCCCGTTACTGTCGTACGCGGAGGACTTGGCCGGCCCGAGGCTCGTCTTAAAGGCCAACCGCTGTGAGCCGAGCTTGTCCAGCTCCTCCTGCAACTCCTGCATGCGGTCGTCGTCGCCGCCGACGGTGGCCTCCTCGAGCAGACGCGCGACACGCGCACGCTCCGCTGGGTCAAAGCGCTTGCGCAGCTCGTTACGGCGGGCGACGCGCGCCTTGATCTCCTCATTGGTCCAGTTGTGGGTGAGGAGGTTGTTGATTTGGTCAATCTTGCTGTTGAGGACCGTCTTGATCGGCGTCTTCACGTTTTCATTGTGGCATGTTACTTGGTAGCGGTTCATTTCGTTCTGCAGAACTGTTAGGCACGCCAATGATCCTGCGTATTGCATGTCATACCTCTGTGAATTTGCCACTCGAGGCAGCGATAAAAGGAAATTCCTTGACAGCCTTACCATGCGCCGCCTTGACATATTGATCTGTCACAAAAGTCCCGTTAGGACCGCTCAGTGCATATGCTCTCCCGGTAGTAAAGCCTACACATTGTTAGCTCCCGACTCGATACCATCGTCTGCATCACACATACCCTTTATGATGGCCATTCTGTACTGCTCGATGCCCGTGTCGGGATGGGGGCCAAGGGCAATACGAATAAAGCAACCCGTAATCGCAGGCTCAAAGCCCGGCGTAAAGCACACCTGCGCGAACTCATTGCGTCCCAAACGCACCCGCTCATAGTCGCGTAGCTCCGGCTTGGGCTCATCCTTCTTCTCGTCCTTCTTCTCCGGCGTGCGGGAGCCGCCGCCGCGCCGGTAGTCGTCCTCGCTCGCCTCGCCATCCGAGTCTCCCCGCCGCGGCGAGTAGACGTCGCGGCGCCGCTCGTGGTCTTCCCTGCGCTTCTGCCTGTCGGCCCTCGCGCGGCGCAGCGCGTCCATGGCCGTGCCACCGGTGGCGGTAGCAGCGCGTCGCGACGCCTTGCCATGGCGGTCCTCGTCCTCGTCATCATCGAGGTCGGCGCTGTCGGCGCTGCGCTTCTTCTTAGCCTTGCGCTCGTCGTTTTGCGTCTCCGTAACCATTTGCCGTAGCAGGCGGTTCTGCCGCAGTCGCTCAATCTCGTTGGCGCGGTCTGCCAGGATCTGCTCGCGCTCCAGTTCGGGCATGGCTCTGATTTCTGCCTTTTCCGACTCGCTTCGAAACTTGCCGTCTACGGGGTACTTTTCCTCATCCGTCCCGGCGCCACCAGGTTCGGGGCCGCGTGGTTTCGGCTGCTCGTCGTCTGAGTCTGATTCGTCCATGGGCGCCGAGTCGAGAGAGTTGGGCGAGCCCGGCCCTGAATGGCTGTTTGCAAGCCGGTCAGTATGGGTCATCCATCATCCGCCACCGCCAGGCGACGACGAGGCATGGATAGCCTGGCGCAGCAGGTTCAGAGACTCACGCTTCACCTTCCTCCTCCGAGTCGGCATCCGCATCGTGTCTCGACGTTTTCGCCTTGGAGGCGCCTCTCTTCGCCGGGGGCGACGCTGATCTCCTGCGGTCGACGACCGACCCCTCCGAATCGGAGTCGCCACCGGCGAGATCAAACAGATCAGCCTCAAAATCAGCCATTGTGTGTGTCGGTCGCGCAGTGGTCTATTTCCCCTGATGCGGAATCGATTTCGTGGCGAGCAAATAGAGGTAATTCTGTCCCAGATCGGATGATGGCGCTGTCGCTGGCAGTGTCCGTTGTCTAATATTAGAAATGGAAAGTAGAATACATTAAAGATGGAACAGCAGCCTGAAAGAAGATCGAGAGAAGACGGAAGAAGACGGAAAGGAATGAGGAAGACAGGAGAGGAGGTATTTTCAGGGCCAGGGGCGAAGAAAGCGACACTGGTTGCAGCGGCAGCACAGCGCAGTGGACGTCTTCTTTCGTGGCGCGCGACACTGTGAAGCCACAGTGTGCCACAGGAATTGGTGGCACAGGAGCGGAAGGCGGCAGAATAGTTTTTCCACAGTGCGTCACCCCCAAGGGCAGCTCATTGAACAGTGATGAATGAATGAACCCACTGTAAAGTCGGAGCTCCGGGGCTCCACCGTGAGCGACAACTCGTTGAACAAATCGGGCCATTCCATGACCTCACCCCCCTCGACATCACCACCCATTGATCCGTCGCAACCACCAGCAACCATGTCGGCCATGCGACGCATAACCCGTCCCGCGCGGCACCTCTGCACCTGTCCCTCCGCCGTGCGCTCCTTCACCACCCACCCCCCGCGCCTCGCCACCACCACCACCTCTTCTGCAGCTCCTCCTCGCAAGCCACTGACGCCGGAGCAGCGGGCCTTTCTCTCCTCGGCGCTGCGCGTCAACCAGGCGGGCGAGCTGGCGGCCACGCTCATCTACACGGCGCAGACGCCGCCGCTCGTGCGCGCGCACCCGCACCTGCGGCCGCTCATGAAGCACATGTACGACCAGGAGGCCGCGCACCTCGCCACGTTCAACGCGCTGCTGCACCGCCACCGCGTGCGGCCCACGGCGCTGTACCCGGTGTGGTCGGCGCTGGCCAGCGGCCTCGGCTGGTCCACGGCCGTGCTCGGCCGCGAGGCCGCCATGGCGTGCACCGAGGCCGTCGAGACCGAGATTGGCGGCCACTACAATGAGCAGATCCGCACCCTGCTGGAGATGACGACGGCTTGGGAGGCCGAGGGGTACGGCGTTGGGGACGAGCTGACCGAGCTCATCTCCACGCTGAGGAGGATACGGGACGAGGAGCTCGAGCACTTGGATCATGCGGTCGAGCATGATGCGAAAAAGGCGGATCCGCACTGGCTACTCACGGGTGTCATTCGTGCGGGCTGTCGCGGCGCCATCTGGGTCAGCGAACGAGTCTGAGGCTGTAGGGAGTCCCAAAGTGTGTGTATAGGAATAGGGAAGTCACATGCGGAAAAACATAGGAGAGTTTCATGTGCCAGAATTTTGTCTAGAATAGAAGTGTATGCTAAGAATTGTATCACCACCATGTATAAACAAGCCTGTCTATTGTTCTCTATTATAATTATAATGCGATATTTGTTCAATAAAGAAAAGAAGAAGATACTCTAACGTATCTCAGTAAAAGCCGACAAACGCCGCGCAATGCCAAAGAAAATCAAACTAGAGAGTCAAGTCTACTGTGTGAACGGTATAAAATATCTGTTTAGTGTGTGTGTTGGTGGACAAGCATTGACCGGCGTTGTTAGTTACTGCCACCTGTTAGCTTTTGAACAAGCACATCGTTCCGTGCTCAACTTACTAAATCGCCAGCGGTGCAACACCGTCCACTTGGTAGCCCCAGTTGCCGTTATGCTCTTCGGTAATGAGCCAGTCGTAGGGAAACTCAACGAGGTTGCCCTGGACCATCCTCAAAAGGCCTTCAGCCTCGGTACGATTCGGCATATCGTCGACGTTGGACCAGCGACGGCTGCCCTTGGTAGCCGCGCGGCGCCGCCTCTTAACGGAGCCGAACTGGGCTTGGGCCGCTGCAGTGGTGGTGGAATCCTTGGTGGGTGGCTTCTCGAGATTGGCAAATGTTGTCGTCTTACGTTCGAGCGTTTCTGGGTTTGTCGATTGCTTCTCCACCTCGGCCCCCATCTCGCGCTCCTCATCTGCGGCCCCCGTCTTCTCGTCGACAGTTTCTCCCGTGATGTCGGAATTGGTGTGCTGGTTGTTTAGATTGGCAGCTACCTTCTCAGCATCTTCGCCGTTGATCCTTGCCAGCGCTTCCAAATCTGGCACAGAAATGCCAATGGCGCCACCGCTTGCTGTACGATTCATGTACCCGGCCTCGCTTGGGGCGTCAGGTTCTTCCGAGGCAGGGCGGCCTTCCATGCTCTCGTGGAATCTCTTACCATACGCAACGAAATCACGGTACTCGGCCCACGTCTTGACCTCCGAGTCCGGCATGCATCTAAACACTTTACGATAAAGCTTCGTGTTGTTGCGGGCCACCCGGTTCCAGATATCATCGATAAACTCCGGCGCAAGCGGGTCCGCCATGCAGTCCTTTGTAATAGTGGCCGGTTTGATCTCTGCAGCAAGATAACTGAAAGCACCCAGGTTATCAGCTTGAGCCTTGTCATCCTTATTTTCAGGTAGCGTAGGTAACTGGGCCGGTCGCAGATCGGCCACGTTAGCAGCGCGCTCGTCGAATGGTGGCAGAGGTGGAAGCAGTTTTTCGTCCGCGATGCGCTCTAGCGATTTACGCCGATCGTGCGCGTCGTTGTGTTCGGGCTCTTCGAGGGTGCCTTTTCCCATGGCATCGATACTGCTGACCAAGAATTCGCGGCCATCTACAATGACAGAGTCTCTGCCGCCGTCGATACCGGATTTCTCAAAAGCTTTCCAGTGGTCGGGACCGTGGCCGGAAACATCCCTGATGTGAAGCTCAGCCTGGAAGGCAGCGTCCTGCTCTTTTTGTTTTCCCTTGTACTTTCTCTCGCTGTTATCGTCAGAGGACGACGAGGCGGGGTCAACAGCCCTAGCCATTTCGATGTCAAGTTCACTGTTGAAACTTCGAAGATGTTGAATTCCGGGGTGTGCCGATTTGCTTGACTCGCCGTTATGAGCACTGTTCGGTGACCCACGCCCGTCTTCATAGAAATGATCCATTTGGCTGTCGAATGATTCGTAATTAACATCATTCTGGCGTTCTTCTTCCATGATTGCGTCGGTATCTAGGCCAAGGTGCTCCCGCATCAATCTCATGCGCAATGTATGCGCGAACCTGCCAACTTGGTACGGCTTGCCACCCATGGTAGACCATATCATGTCGGTATCGCGAACGATTGCCGCGATTTCTGAATCGCGATGGCCAACCATGGAGCGTTCGTTGATGTTGGCGGAACCAATGAGAGCAACGCGATCATCCACAATGATGGTCTTTGCATGAATATAGAGCTGTTCAGTCACCAGTGCGTCTGTACTCATAATACCCCACTGGCGAAGAGAAAAGAAGTCGATATAGTCCTCAGGGTCGATTCCGGCGGAACGAAGGCGGCCGAAGATGGAGTTCTCGCCTCGGCAGATACTCTTCAGCTGGCACATGATGATAAGTCGTACACTGGTGCCTTCTTGCTCATCAACAGTATTTTGGAAGCCTGGCATCAGCGGAATAAGGATAATGCAGCGCCAGCTTTCTCCATTTTCATGGGCTCGAACAATTCTGTGAACAATCGCATCACCGATTCTGTTGACGATGCGGGTGCTATACGCTTCGGTGCTAGAGATGAAGAACTGGTTCTCAATGTATACAAGATGCTCTGAATCCTCAATCATCTTGATGTAGGCGGTTTGGATACTGTGCTCCGTTTCGATCAGTCCAAGCGACCATGCACTGGCAGATCTCAAGATTTGCACCTCGCAAGTCCCTGTCAGACCTAGTGCCTCCAGCTCATCGAAATTAGCTTCCGGTGGTGGCAGCAGAAACGGCAGGGGTCTGGTAGATTTGCGGCCGCGGCGTAGATAGTTCCATCTCTGTACGAAATGGCGCGTCAGGTCGCGGGCAGGCTGACCAACAACCTGCATTCCGATGTCGTGCCATGGCATTCGCGGGACTTTGGACCGGTCGTACATTTCCTCGTATGGTTCGGCGAGACGGAAAAAGTCTTGCACACGCGGGTTCGAGTAATCCTTGCCAGGGAAAACCTGGCAGTGCTCAGCATCCCTCGGCGCATCAGTCATTTCGAAACCGGTTGGCCTATCATCCACAATGGGATGCTGCGGGCAATCCCATCTGCCAAAGCAAAGATCCACGCCACCAGTGAAAGCAACGTCGTGATCAACAATGCAAATCTTTTCGTGGTGCGCAAAGAAGAACTGATTCTTCTTGAACTGGTTGGGTGATCGCTGAACAAAGATGTTGGGGTGCAGATTCAGCAGCGAGGATTTAGTGTACTCGGAATCAATGGGGACGGCGGCCTCAACATTTCGATAGATGATGACAAAGATCTTGACTCCTTCGCGAGCCTTCTTCTGCAGCAAACGATCGAGTCGCCACTTTTGACTGATCGCAGCCGGCCGTCTCAAGTACAATTCGGGACTCAGCCACCAGTCATGGATGTAAATAACATCCTTGGCCATGTTGATGGCGCGAGAAACGTTCCACATGTAATCACGTCCGTCAACCAGCCACTGCGCAAAGACACCTTGGCGGACGGGGGCGAAGCTATCAAATCGCTGTTGTTTGGACCAGACGGTATCGCGCAACATTTCGGTAATGGACTCTTCAAACTGCTGTCTGATGGCGTGGGTACGGGAGAAGAAGCGGATCTTGCGTTCCGACGTTCGAAGTGTGAGAGTGTGACGCTTTGATTGAGAAGGTTCCGCGATTAGATCAATCTCCTCCTTTTTCTTGGAGGCGATTTTCTTCACCGCATTTCTCTTCTTGACGAGACTAAACTTGCTGTCGACGAGGAAGACGTCATAAATGTTCATGTTTTCCGGGGAATCGACACAAACAATGTAGCTTTGGCGAACCAGAAACCACTTTCGGCTGTGGCGAGCAATCACCTTGGCGGGCGTTAGCACACGACGAAAGTCGAGGCCCTTAGCAGATTGAATGTGCAGATAGCCTTCCTTGCCGTGATAGCTGCCCTCGGCGGCAAGACGAACACCGAGCGCTGAGAGTTCCAGAAATCGGCAGAGACGGTTACTATCAGCTCTGAACATGAGCCAACGCACCATGCCAGCCAGATAGTTCTCCAGGCTCCGTCGCTGCTTCACAAAGAAACGTTGGCGCATACCTTCGTGGCCCTGATCGCTCGGGCCCTCTCCATTGTCGGTCAGGCCGGTCGAGCGACGTCTCATGCCAAGCAGGTTAACGCGTGACCTTTTGCGCCGAGGATGTCGGTTGCCGCCACCGTCACTACCGGTGGCTTCAATGTCGTCGCCGGCTACAATGTCGCCGCCATCTTCTGCGTTATGATGTTCTCTTTCACTAACAATCTCCTCCTCCTCATCTTCTGTGATTTGCCCTTTCTTCTTACGGACAGTTCGCAGCACAGGAAAGGCGCCCCAGGGAAAGGCTGGCTGCTTAGGCCGAGCAGCCAGATGGTTTGATCCCGGAAGGTACATGTCTTTGTTCATAGCCCATCTATAACGGAGATGCAGATTGTACGTCTCTCTAATGTCGCGTACAACTGTCCAGACCATCCGGCTGGCGCCACTGCCGTACTCTAGCTCAATGGTAAAATACCAATGGCGTTCGCTGTCGTCATCAGGCCCTGGTGCGCTGTGGATAACTTTCAGTTTGAGCTGCTCCAACAGCACCGGGATTCGCTTGTTTCCGTGTTCATCTCGCTGAATCATACTTGCGAACATGAGCACCGCAGGAGCACCGGCTCTCAGCTCGGCCATCAACTCGGTTGACTTGTAATAGTCGACACGATCGTCCTTCTTTTGACGTAAAAGTTTTAGAGTACTTTTGACTTGCTTCCATTTTTGGGCACCAAAGTTAGACGCACGTTCCGAGTGGAAGAATGGCCTGCGGTGGACGATGGCGTCGCCGTCGGAAACACCACCGCCTCCGAAAACTGTGATACGACGAGTGTGACCATGGCGACGACCGACAACATTTGAGCTCTCCAGTGCTTCAATATCAGTTTCGGCTTGCGGCGTTCCGGGATTCATCCATGAATGGCCTCGCCTAACGAACGGGCGTCGCTTGGATCGCTGCGGGGTCTCGCCTTCAGAGAGAACCTGGTTGTGTTCAGAGGTATCGGGCATGCTCGCACGGCGTCTGAGAAATCTATGGCTAAAGGCATCTCCATCATTCGGAAATCGAAAAGGAGAGCTAGGGGCTGATCCATCACCCTTGACAAAGCGACGCATCCTGCGCTTCTTTTTCTTGACATGTCCGGAGGGATGTGTCTCGTCTGCTTCCTCTTCCGCGTCAGCATCGGCCTCGCCTTCCATGTCGGCATCGGTTTCTTCCGCCTCCTCGCGCAAGGTATCGGGCACTCGACCAGCAAATCGCCCAGCTACGGGGGACGCCGCGGTGGCCTGTATGTCTCCGTCGAGCGAATGGGGTCTTGTCGGCTGGAGAGAATGTGGCGCAAGGTACTTGAGCTTGGATATGATGGAACTGCTTCTGGACTTGGCAGCATCGGGGTTCTCGGCAGAGTTGTGTCGGGAGTGCGATGGTTGAAAATCGGGGGGGTCAAACCGGGCGAATTGGACGCGCGCGGTTGGGGTATTTGGGGTGTCTGGAGTGGCTTGGTCGCCATTCATGCCAGGAAAATCTGTATTATTGGATCCTGTGGCATTTCGATGAGGCAATGCGGCAGATAGACTGGAAGGTCGGCTTGAGAGCGGCGCGTGCGCCTCATTTCCCGGCTTGACATCGTCTGGTGCCGCTCCGTTTGGGGTTGAGGCGGCAAGCGCGCCCCCGACAACGGGTGGCGTGTAGGGTTCATCGTTTATCGGGGATTTCTGCGGCGAGCGCGAGAATGGCGATACAGAATCGTCGCGGGCCATATTTGACCGTCGATGCGCGGCTACCGCGCAGGGTGTTGAAGGAGGGTTCGGTTCGAGAATGGTTCGTTGGTAGTAAAGGCTGTGATGCAGGGTTAAGAATAGAAGCACGCAAGAGCCCCATACAGAACGTACAAGCTGTGGTTGTAAGTCAAAGGGGTCTTGGTGCAGCGCTGTCAACCAGAAAGCTGCAGCGGATGCTCGCTGGCCACTGCTGGGCAACTACCGACAGCTCTAGTATCGTGATGTAGACTGCTGGGTATGGTATAACATGTGATAGATGAGCAAGGCGGTCAGTGAGCAATGTAGTGAGGCCACTGGTACACGTGCGTGGAAGCTACGCGTAGAGTTGGTTGGTCAAGTCGCTGAAGCCGGGGTGCGATTGCGATGCCCAAGTTCCAAGGGGGTGTGGCGTCGCGGTGGCTTGTGAGTGGTCTCGAGACCAAGCTACGTGGCTGGGCCGGGTTGGTCCCCGTTGTATGAACGAATACGGACTATTAACACCCGTCAAGAACACGGGCAAGCGGCGCAAAAGTCAAAAAAAGATGAGGAAGAAAAAGGGTAGGAAAGAGAACAGTTTCCCAACAAATTAATTGATGATGACATAATGCCTTGTCAACGGCGGCCAGTAGCCCTGCCCTTCGGGCTAGCCGATTGACGATGCGAACCTAAGTTGTCCGCGCCGTCTGTAAATAATCGCTAGCTAGACAAAAGAAAAAAAGACAAAAGGATTGCAATGAAAACTTTGATGAGATTGCTGCCTTGCTTAAGCTATCTTTTATGGTCGTCTCACAAGGCTGCAGCTACTTCTTACCTCATGCCCACAGTTCTTAGCCGAGAGAGGAAAGATGAATCGCTGAGAGCATGATCGCATCGAAAGGAAGTAAGATGTGCCTTCTTCTAGGTAAACTAGTGGCATCTCGCCAGATCTTACCGAATTATCAGCCTCTGCCGCAGGGTTGCAGTCAGCCGCCTATCAAGCAGCATAGCCGCTTGACGTGGCTAATCTGGACCGCGTTGACCGTCACATCATGCCCGAGTCCTAGTTACACGGATTTATGATTCCAGCATGCCGTCCGGCTCTGTGCTCCATCATCGGCTGGGGGCGTCGCCGCGGAACGCGCGCGGAGGACGCTATCCACCATCAGTCGACGATGGGGGCATCTCGGGATTAGCCCGGGAGTAGCTTCGCAAGACAGGCAGACACTTCAATCAGCTGATTATGTATATTCTAGAGATGGATATCCTATTAACAGAAAGAAACTCCGAGATAATTCCCTCAAACCCGCCGCCATCTCACCCTCCACCACATCCGCCCCCTCCGCATCCTCCTCCTCCGCATCCCCCTCCTCCGCCACCACCTCCGCATCCTCCTCCGCCACCACCACCTCCTCCACAGTCTCCTCCGCCAGATCCTCCTCCACCACATCCGAAGCCGCAACCGTAGCCGCCGCCGTATCCCCCAACGCCGTATACAGCCCCCCCCACAATCAGCGCCGCTGCAAATGCACCAGCCGGATATGCAAGCCCTCTACATGTAGACGAATATCCCCCCCCATCTTGTCGTCTGGGCTGGCACCTCAAAGCGTGTCACCTCGGATGGCACCATGGAATACCACGACCGGGCGTCATAATAGTTCTCCATCCTTGGCACGCCATCCACCTCCCTCTGCCAGCAGCGTGCCTCCGCCTCGTCCACCTCACGTTCCAGCAGCTGCTGCAGGGCTCTCCTTTTGTTCGCCTCCACGCCCAACGCCGCATGGCACTTATTCAGTGGCGGCATCCAGTAGCTATACAGCTCATTCTTGAGGGCCGCGTCCACTTGGTGCCTGTCGTGGTGCTCCTTTTTCTCGGCGTAGAGCTGCCTGTCCAAACGTTCGAGTTCCGCTTGCTGTGGCTTGCTATAGAAGCGGGCTTTGAAGAGTCGCAGGGTTGGTCTGACCGCCTGCTTCGCCGCCTGTGTTTGTCGTATCTGGGCCAGCATCGCGTTGGCACTATCCTTTGCAGCGGTCCATTTCCTCTTCTCCTCGTCCACCTTGGCCTGTGCAAGTCTCAACGATTCCTGCAGGTCTTTTTGGGACACGTCGTTGTCAAACTGTTGCAATATTACTGCCTTTTGCTCTATCGCATTGTCATAGGCAATCCTCCTCTGCCGAATCTCCTCGGTTCTGCCCTTGTTAGTGGGATCAAAGTACGACTCGCCATATTTCAGCGCCCAGAGTCTCGCAGTCATGTCCTGCGCCGTAGAACGTGTTTCCGTGCGAATGGTATCGTCGTGATTGATCTGTCGTCCCAAGTGCGTGACGCAATAGGTGAGATATGCAAAAGGTGCCAACTGATGTGTGTGCCAGCAGAGGTCAATATCGAGTGTCGGCACGACCGTCTCCCCCGTCTCCTTGATGAGCTGCAGAAACCGGAGGTAGCGCTCCACTGCGTTGGCCGGAAGGGCTGGCAGGGCAAGAATGCGATCGACGAAGCCGTCTTTGCAGAACTGGCGGAGGGGACTATCCCAGAGATTAAATATTGGCATGCCGAATCTGGCCTGCGAATCCTTCAGAATAGTGTCTTGCGCCCCTCGCTCGGATTTAGGGCGTACGGCCCTGCATGACGGACAGGTGAGGCCGGCAGTCCCGACCCGGTATTTGACCCAGGACGCCATGCTGAAGACACGCGCAGGTTTCGCTCTGCAAGCTGTCGAGAAACAATGGTATCGTATATCGACGGGGTTATATATGGACGACGAAATAGAGACAAATTTGTCGTTGAGCGCCAGAATTCTGTACGGAATCGACGGGTACATCTTGTTCCATGCCGCCTCGCTAGCATCGTCATGTTCCGATGCTAGCATCTGCGCGATCGGAAGCTCTGCTCTCCCTTGCCACATCTTTGGAAAGAACTGTTCGATATCGCGTTTATAGTTAAACGGTGCCAGCATATGCGCGTAGAAGATAATGGCGACGTCCCTGTTTATTTAGTATTGTTAGACTACTGCGGTTCGTAGGTTTGGCCGAGGCATATCACCTACCATGGAGGTACGACCATCTCCAGTCCCTGTCGTCGGCCATTTTTCTCAGATTGAAGCATGTGCGCCTCTAATAGCTTCAAGTACATCGGATATCGCATCTCGGCGCTCATCAGTATGCACTGCACCCTCCACTGTGCGGCCTGGTCCTCTCCACCGCACCCCGCTGGCAGCGCCGGGAAGCGTGAGGCATCACGACCGGGGTAACGGGCATAGTCTAGAATGCTTTTGAGTTTTCGCATGAAAGTGATATGATTCTAGATTGTGCTAGTCAGCTAATGCGAGGGTGTCGGGTTTGGAACAAGGAGGCTCACAGCAAGGCGTTGCGGTGAGCTAAACTCGGCCTGCTCAGGAAGAGTGCTCTTCAGTGTTTCCATGGCAGGTAGTGAGATGTAGTGACGAAGTCGAGGTGAAATGTGATAGCTCTGTAGTATTCTAAAAGATGGCCGAGGGCATCTACTTGTACTTGTCGGCCGAAACTAGGCAGCATGACGCCGCCCGTGACGTTTTGGCTAGCTATGAGTGCAAATAGCTTTCAGCCCTAGTTGAAGTATATTTTGGGCGAAGTCGGGCGATTCGCAACTCATGAGCGGCTGAGTGCCGCCTTACTTTTGTCATATTAGGGTGATGCGAACCGGCGAGTGGGCGAACTCAGCCGCAATGCTAGTTATTCTGCCTTGGAAGCCTGGTGGAAGCTTGCTTCCATCACCGTTGGGCGGTACGCCTCGTGGCGCTTGACACTTGACAGCACCCCTGTTCGAGATGAGTTATCGGTCACTGGACCAAACCAGCGTTCCATTCGAGAGCCGTCCGATATCGCTGAATTATTCGTGAGACGCGTTTGTGCTGAAGAAGGAAACTGGCAGAAAGGACGCTAACTGGAGATGGGAGCCAAAACTGGAGCAGCCAGCCTGGGGTTCCTGACAGGTACTCAATAAAGCCGCATGCAAACAGTGTCACAAGTTTGCACACCCTCCCCACCAAATTTATCCTACACAACTCGGGATTGATTGTCTGTTCTTGTTGATTATCCGCAGGGGGCTTTATCGCGCCATCGGGTGATGCTGGATGGTGGACCAGGATCGGTGTCAGCAAATCTCACACGTCAGCAAACCAGCAGGCCTTCGGCTCCCGGTGGCCCACGCAGCATCAGCCATCCGAGGCACCATTTCACGATCTGAATGCATTCGGACAGAAGACAGTGTACATTTCGTGTCGGCAATACTAGACTTGTGCGCGCTATATACATGAAAGAACAGAGACTCGTGAGGCCCGCGCCGTTAGACTGCGTGCCAGGGGGTATTTTGCGGCTCCGACTGCGGCTTGCCTACAGACACGGAATATTCGATCGACTTGACAATGCCTTGTTTGGGGAGGATGTTCTCTGCGCTGCCCGAGGACTGGCTGGAGCCGACGATGGTGCTCTTGTGGTTGGTGGAGTGGTTCTTGACGTCTTCCAAGTGGTACATGTCTCTGCTTGCGCCCGGCTGTCTCGACAATCGTGAATTTTTGGACGCTTCGGTTTCGCGACTGTTGCTCTTGTATCGCTTGTAGCTCAAATCCTTGGCCTTTTTTATGAAGACGGGGGCGAGGAATGGCAGCGAGGTGACCATGTTCTGTGGCGTGTTAGTCGTGTCGTGTCATTTGGCTTTGGCCTGGGAGCGGGTGCACGGGCAGAGACTTACACCGACATTGAACTCAATGACGCCCCAGAGGACCAGCATGGTCGAGTTGCCGTCGCCAAAGGAGATGCGGTTGAGCTGAATCAGACGCATCACAGAACATATAGTAGTAAAGAGACCGAGCAGGAAGACGCCGACCAGACCGGCCTTTTTGGCGTTGGGGATCTTGAGGGTCAAGAGGACGGGGATGGGCAGCACGGCGACGAGCACATCCGAGATGATGGTGATGAGGGAGTAGATGAGCGACGTCTGCGACAGGTTGACGCAGGTCGGGTGCGGGTCGCTGACCTTGAGCTCCCACGAAAAGTTGACGGGCTTGCAGGCAAAGATGAGGGCAAACGCGCTGCCGAGGTGTCCGATGAGCACGGCGACAATGGCGAGCCAGATGAGGACGCGGTAGTTGCGCTTGCTCGTGGCCTGCAGCAGGCGCAGGTAGCTGACGAGCAGGGCGACCTTGAAGAGGCTGACGCCGAACTGGTAGACGGGCCGCCCGGCAAAGTTGACCTTTTTGTACGTGGCCGCGTCGCTGATGTCCTTGGAGCGCAGCTTGAGCGGCAGACCGAGCCCGTATTTTGTCTGGATGATGGTGAGGACCGAGTAGACGAGGGCGAGGACAAACGAGGCAGCGGCGACGTAATCGTCGCCCATGAGGCCGCGGCCGCGGATGCTCAGGTAGAGGCGGAAGCCGACGACGGCAAAGGAGACGACGGTGAGGACGATGCAGACGGCGACAATGGTGCGCCACTGGGAGATGGCGTCGACCTCGGGGGTGGCGTGAGAGACCCAAGTCATGGCGATGGTGGTTTGCGCATGGAAGAGGTGTTGGGGATGATTGGGGGGGGATGGAGGAGATGAAGATTGGAACCAAAACGAGAGGATGGTGGACGAGTAATATAAAGCAACGCTGGAGCTGGGAAAAGTAACGGAGGACGGGTTGGATGCAGCTCAAAGCACGCTCATGTCAGATTTATTGTCTTGCGTCCAACAGACCAGGCCTCGAAGCTCTAGCCAACTGGCAGCGGGCACACGAAGCGACCCTGATGAGATGGCTTGAAGAAGGAGGTGTGTCTACTGATCCGATTTGATGAATGAAAGGCAAGCACATCAAGGGCCAGAAAAAGACGTTTGGCAAAACAATTCATTATACACAGAGCGATTCTCATCTACGGATATTGGATATCTCTATTCTCACATATAAGGGTCCTTTTGGACAAGCGAGCTAGCGGGAAGCTCTACGGAGTGCGGTCATGCTTACCCAAGAGGAACTGGTTTCTTTAATATTACGTAGATGGCGAAGATGAGCTTCCGGCCACTTTGGGGGCGATCAACCTAGGCTACCGGAGAAGGTGAGCCAAGTTCAGGAAAAGACGGGAACCAGTTGGGCAAGGGCGTGGGCAGAGTGAGGGAGGACCATGCGATTAACCCGTCTTGGTCAATGCTGGGCGCGCGAGAGAGCGGACTTGTCAGCATCTAGGGTTGCAACGGAACCCAGGCAAAACTCGAGTGCGAGATGCGGACAAGCTTGAGAGAGGGAGAGATTGTGTCAGCATGGCAAGCATGGGGGCCAGCGTGGCCGGTTCAAGGCGATGGTTTGACCATGTCCAAACCAGACGCTAGAAGAAGTTGCAGAGACAGACCAGTTCTTTTGCTACCCCTCTCTTGAATTCAGCTGGTAACTAAACATGGAGCGACTTTTATCAGTTCGGTCGACGGGGTATCGGCCGAAATTGTCTCAAAGGACAGGCGCCATGTCGGAGGTAGACGAGACGTGGCGCCACTACTGCACCCTGCAAAACCGCCTCTTTGGCAAGGGAGACTGGTACATATGAAGCGAACAGTGTCAGGAGAAGCAGGAATGAGAATGTCCGGCTTCAAGAGGAAACAAGAAAAAAGCAGGAAAAAATACAAACGGAGAGAATCATCTAAACGGCGACCGAGAAGGAAGCTCTGACCACTTTCTTACTGGGTAGCTCCGCGGCATCCCCGTCTCTCCCCGAAATATACGGGTTATAACTAGTTAGGTACCTAGGTAAGGTTCCTAGTGGGCGAGTGTCGATCACATCTTCAGCGTCTGGCCCCCTGAAATTGTTCAATTTTCTGACGTTGTTAATTGCGTGTCCATCATACACATATCAATGTGTGTGTGTGTGTTGTCGTTGTTGCAGGAAAGGCGTCGTATTGCGCCAAGACAGCCGTCGTGTCACATTTTTTTTTAAATGCCCCCAAACCCCCAAGAAAAGAAAAATGCTCCGTAGTGTACGGAGCATTCGGTAGATCGATCTTTTTCTGGGCGCGCCGAGGGCGCACGGTGGGTGTGATGTGCGGCTCCCGCCGTCTTTCTTGGCGGGCGGGAACCAGAAACTCAGTTTGTGTACGGAGTACATAGCTAGATACTCCGTAATCTGTACCCAAGGCTGGAGGTATTAATTGACCTGCACCCGGCGCATCCCCCCAAACGGTACAGTTCAGAATGAAGAATCCATTGCAACGCCAACGACGACGAGGAAAGAGTTTTCTGGTCCATAACCTCTTGCTTCTTCCGTGCTAGATTCCAAGCTAACAGACTAGGACCCTTTTGCTTCGTTTCCAGCTCGTGGGCCAAGGTGACTAGAAAACGAACAACATCCCCAGGGGTTCAACGGTGCAAATGGGGCTCCGAGATGACATTGTCCAGCCTCTGCAGAGCTCTGTCTGGACAAGACCGCGCACGTTGTCATGATAGCGCCGGGCCTGTTATTCATGTTACGTGATATCATGAGACGGCCACGCCCCGTGGCGGGGATCTTTTGCTACCTACCCATATTGGCCTCTGATAATGGAGTGAGTGGATTCTTGGCAAGAAAGCAAAGAACGAGGAACGAGGGTTCCTTTTGGATGTGTTGCCAGGAACCCGGGCCTGTCAACTGTCAAACCTGCAGTCACTCGGTACGGAGTACAAATTAGAGAGGCCTGAAACTGGAGGCAGCCTTGCTACTCGTTGCTTTGCCGTATCTACAGAGTACTCTCTCGTTGTTCTGCTCCCAAGCATTCATCATATTTACTACAAGGACATTTCTCAGCGACAGTCCCGCGGCTTTCACGGATACGGTGAGAGAAAAAATAGAAATGACCAACATTAGCCTCAAAAACCCGGCATTGGCAGCGCCCGCATCGTGATGCATGCCATGCAACAACGTGGCAAAAGCCGCTCCCAAGTCCAAAGTCCCACCACACCAACACCGCGGCAAAACATCAGGCCAATTTTATTTCGCAGCCCATTCGCTAATAGTGAAGCCTTGCTGGCCTTGCTTGGTCCCCTTGCCACGCAACAAAGAAGAAGAGAGAAGTGACGCCACTTGCTGAATGGCGAGCCGGCTCGCCCTTTTCCCAAACTAAGAACTTAGTTAATAACTAACGAATAACTCGTTATGCGACGCAACACACCGTTACACACGGGAAATTGTCAGTATTCAGGCTAGTCCTTCTTACATACACCAGTATTATCATAACGAATTAGTATGTGTACCTGTGTACCTAGCGGCTCTCTTCCTCCGTCGGTACCCATGGCTAGACCAAGCAGGGGGCCGGCGCTCCATCCTCCCCTCCGTCCAATCCATCGCCCAGCGTCTTGTCCGATCTACTTCTTGGACTCGACTTTCTGCCCGTACCAAGTTAACAACCGGTCAACAATACCCTTGTAGCTACATGCAAAGCCCCCGCGTGGTTTGAGCAGCCCAGCAGCCCGCTTAACCGGAATTGATCAACCTCGACGGCGGGCGTGCTAAACAAGCCCGCGGACCGCAAAAAACGACTCGCATCCAGACAAAAGGAGACAAAGCCCCTCCAGGCTGTTCTTCTATCTCCATCTCGTCTCGTGTCTCTTCATTGCATTCTTTGGAAGCGAGTTCGACGCGATTTTCTTGTCGACTTTACTGTACAAAAAGTATTTGCTGTTCACATCCCTTGACTAAAGGACGCGCGGTTTTCAACTCCCTTTTCTTTTCTTCTTTTCTTCTTTTTTCCTTCTTTTTTCCTTTTTCCTTCCTTCATTGAACCCTCCTTAAACCCGGTCACACCTTTCCCCCCGGGACGCATCTTCAAAACGTGCTTACAACCACACCATCCGAGACACAAACACACAACACGGCAACCATGTCTACCACGGAACAACCGCATCCCGAAAAGAGCTTCGAGGTCAATGAGCGCCTACCCAGCTCTTCGTCGCCCTCAACGAGCGACCATGTCGCGGCGCAAAAGCAGCTCCCCACGGCTGATAAGACGGCCGCGGTGACGGTGCAGCACGGCGATGTCGACGCCGCGTGGCTGTTCCTCGATCAACACCGCGACGTGCCCGGCGTCGACACCGTCGATTTGAAGAAGCTGCGCCGACGCATTGACTTGCGCATCGTGCCCATCATGTTTGGCTGCTACACGATGCAATTTCTCGACAAGGTCATTTACAACGTGAGTGTCCCCTCCCTCCCTCCATCCCCACCCAACTTTTTGCTTGCTAACATAGTATTCTAGTATGCTGCCGTCATGGGCATCAAAAAGGACTTGGACCTCACCGGCAACCGCTTCTCCAACGTGGCCACGTTCCTGTTTGTTGGTCTTCTCTGCTTTGAAATTCCCAACAGTAAGCTTACACCCGCATATCCACCATGACGACGCCTCCTCAACGCCGTCGCATCGCATCACGAGACACAACGTTCTTCTTCCATGCTCACACATCTCCTAGTCTACCTGCTGCAAAGAGTCCCTGCCGCCAAGTGGCTCGGCCTCAATGTCACCCTCTGGGGCGTCGCCACGGCCTGCGGCGCCGCCGCCCACAACTACCCCAGCATCCTGGCCTCGCGCATCTTCCTCGGCATATTCGAGGCCACCATTGCGCCCTCGCTCGCCCTCATCAGCAGCCAGTGGTACACCAAGTCGGAGCAGGCCCCGCGCTTCTCCTTCTGGTACCTCGGCCTCGGCGTCGGCCAGATCGTCGGCGGCGTCCTCTCCTACGCCTTCCAGCACGTCTCGCCCACGGCGTCCCTCGCCGGCTGGCGCGTCATGTTTGTCGTCCTCGGCTGCGTCACCGTCCTCATCGGGCTGAGCGTCATCGCCCTGATCCCCGACACCCCGATGCAGGCCCGCTGGATGTCCGTCACCGAAAAGGTGGCGCTGCTCAAGCACGTCAGCGTCAACCAGACGGGTATCCGCAACAGCCGCTTCCGCGCCGCCGAGCTCCTCGAGGGCCTGATGGACCTGCAGATCTGGCTGCAGATCCTCATCACCGTCCTCTTTTCCGTCTCCAGCGGCGTCATCACCACCTACTCGGTCATGCTCATCGGCCAGATCACGCACGACGCCAACAAGACGCCCGCGCAAAACTCGCAGCACGCCGCGCTCATGAACACGCCGTCCGGCGCCGTCTCCATCTTCTTCATCCTCATGATCGGATACGGCGTGCGTCGCAACGCGCACCGCTGGATGTGGATTCTCGCCTGCATCATCCCCGCCATCGTCGGCGGCGCGCTCATGTCGTTCCTGCCCAAGACCAACCACGCGGGCCTGCTGGCCGGCGTCTACCTCGTCAACGCCGTCGTCGCGCCCATGCCGATGCAGTACAACTGGCTCTTGGCCAACGTCGCCGGCGCCACGAAGCGCGCCTACTCGGTCGCCATGATCAGCGCCGCGTTTTCCATTGGCAACATCATCGGCCCCCAGACGTTTCAGGCCAGGGACGCGCCCGACTACCGGCCGGCCAAGCTTGCGCTCGTCTTTACGCAGGCCGGCAGCGCGCTCGTCACCATTACGCTGTTTGGCTACTACGTCTGGGCGAACAAGCGCCGCGCCGTCCGTGCCCGACAGACAGAGGACCAGTTCATGGACAAGGAGGTGTGGACGAGGATGACGGACAAGGAGAACCCGACGTTCCGTTATGAGTACTAGGTTGAAAATGCGGGCTGGGTTGCGAGGTTATTTGTGTGAATACTGTGCAATCTGTTTCGTGTCTGGTAATTCTTCATCATTCATCATGTATATTTGCGTTGGACTTTTAGTCAGCATTCAGCTTCTTCTTATTCGTATACGGATATCTTTGGCCGTCATAAGTACCGACGCCACAGAACACAATACAGTAATACTTAATCGGGCTGCAGGGAGATGTGACCCCTGAGGGACCCCCCACACGGCCGCTCGGGATGCGTGCAGGTGCTGGGAGGGACCGCCAAGTGCGCTGGAGAATCCACCCCTCAGTCGGCCTCAGATGGGTTGCCCGAGGCTCACGAGATTCAACAAAGAATGACCTAGACTGCCTCTGACTCGGCCTTCTGCGCTCATATCTAGTTTGACATGACATCCGACATTTCTTCTTTGTAGGCCTTATTCGAACATCCAAGTGCACCAATTACAGGTACACACCATGTCCACCAATCTTCCAGCGGTCTACTCGTAGCCCACTCTTCATAGGTCCCTCTGGCCAATGATATTACACGTCTATACCACACCAAAGCCCCTTGTCGCGCGTTTTCGCATCGCGCGCGCCCCAGTTCAATCATCCTGTCAACCTCTTTCCTTTGCTTCTCTGTCCCTCTGCCCGCTCCCCCTTGCTTCTCGTGGCGCATCTCCCAATCGGCATCCCACGGATCGCGAGGAGACACCAATTGATCAAAATTTGGCACTTGTTGCTTTTGCTTCGGCACTTTGCTCCCACCATATAAAACGAGGTCGGCGAGCCTGCCCTCGTCCCTTTTTTCACCATGTCAGGACGCTATTCCCTGCGAGCGACGCCACGGTATGTTCAGCGCTCTTGCCGTTTTTCTTGCCGTTCTTCTTGCCCTTCCCTTTCCTTTTCTTTGCCTTGATTTTACTGTTGATGCACCAATGCTTCTCCTCCACCACGCATCCTGGAACCGTCCCCGACCTCTAACACGTGCACAGAAAAAAGGAGCTATTCGATGGCATGATTGAGACGCCTTCCAAGACTCGCTCGTCTCGACGCCTATCCCCGTTCCCTCCCGAAGCATCTGACAACGAACCCGAACCCGTTGCCGCACCCGCCTCGCCTGTCAAGCCTGCCGCGCGCTCTCGCTCTCTCCGCCGCCGAACCATTGCCAAGTTGGACGACGAGCCGGCGCAGGACACCGAGGTCACCAAGCAGACTAAACCCATCGAGATGGAAAACGGCAAGAGCCCCGCCAACGGCACACATAAGCGCGCCGCCTCGCGCCCACGCACGCCCAAGGAGTCTGCGACGGCCACGGCCGACGACGTCAAGGTTAGCGTCGTTGACGGCTGGAAGCCCGGCCAGGACCCCAAGGTTGACTACTCAGGCGAGTTTGAATTTGGCGGCTCCGTCGGCACCTTTTCCATGATGGTCTTCTTCCCCGTACTCATGTGGTACATGTGGGTGGGCGCCACCTACTACAATGGCAAGTTTCCCTCACGCGAGCCTGGAATGAGTTGGTCCGACTTTGGCCGCCACCTCGTGCACCTCGTCTACACGGGCGCGTTCCCCCATGCCAAGGCCTGGATCTGGTACTGGTCATACCTCATCTTTGAGGGCGCCTGCTACTGCCTCCTCCCCGGTGTCTGGAGCTACGGCAAGCCGCTACCGTTTCTCGGCGGTAAGCAGCTCCCATACTTTTGCAACGCCTACGCTAGCTTCTACTTCACCCTCACCGTGCTGGCCGGCCTGCACTTTAGCGGCGTCTGGCCCCTGTACACTGCCATTGATGAGTTTGGCCCCCTACTATCCGTGGCCATTCTCAGCGGCTTCATCGTTGCCTTTGTCGCCTACTTTTCGGCTCTCTACCGGGGCAAGCAGCACCGCATGACTGGCTACCCCATCTACGACTTCTTCATGGGTGCCGAGCTCAACCCGCGCTTATTTGGCATCCTCGACTTCAAAATGTTCTTTGAAGTCCGCATGCCCTGGTACATTTTGCTCATCCTCAGCCTAGGCGCCGCCGCCCGCCAGTACGAGCAGTACGGCTACGTCTCGGGCGAGATAATGTTCCTCGTCATGGCCCACTACCTCTACGCCAACGCCTGCGCCAAGGGTGAGGAGCTCATCGTCACCACCTGGGACATGTACTATGAGAAATGGGGCTTCATGCTCATCTTTTGGAACCTGGCCGGCGTGCCCCTCTCGTACTGCCACTGCACCATCTATCTCGCTAATCACGACCCCGCCGAGTACCGTTGGAACCGCGCCGCCCTTGTCCTTTTCTACGCTGCCTATCTCTTTTGGTACTGGGTCTGGGACAGCTGCAACTCGCAAAAGAACCGCTTCCGCGCCATGGAGCGCGGCAAGCTTGTCAACCGCCGGACCTTTCCCCAAGTGCCCTGGCAGACTGTTGAGAACCCCAAGACGATTAAGAGCCCCCAGGGTACCATTCTCATCGACGGCTGGTACGGCCTAGCCCGCAAGATCCACTACACGTCGGACATTTGGTTCTCCATGTCTTGGGGCCTCATCACCGGCTTTGATAGCCCCTTTCCGTGGTTTTATCCCGTCTTTTTTCTCTGCATGATCGCCCACCGCGCCTCGCGTGATATTCACCGCTGTCGACAAAAGTACGGCGATGCATGGCTCGAGTATGAGCGCCGTGTACCCTACCTCTTCATTCCTGTGAGTCTTGTCTTGTCTTGCGTCGATGACGCCGCCACTAACATCTGCAAAACAGTACGTCTTTTAAAAGAGGTCATTGCAGAGCAAGATATTGCTCTTTCGTCAAGTCCCGTCAAAGCTCGCTCGCCGTTTTTTGCTTATTTCTCTTCAGAGCAGCTCAACTCCCGCCAGACGTATCTTTTTTGGCTTTTCTTTTCTTTTCTCGAACCGATTTTCATTGTACATATAATGGACATAAAATCACCAAAACATGACGCAAGTCTTTTTAATGATGAGCGGGAGGGTAAATAGAAGTAGAAGGGAGGCGTCTGGTCTTTCTTCTACCGGTTTTTTATGATGTTGGGATAAAAGGTTGAATCAGTGTGGCTAATGAAGACCAAGTCCAATGGGAGGGGGAGAAGGGGGGGGGGGGGGGGGGGGTGAAGGAAATTCGTGTCACGACCTAGTCAACTTCCTAATGAGTTATTTCTGTATCCTTTTTTAAATATAATTACTTTCAGTTTTACCTTGAATAAATGCCCAGTCACAATCATTCGACCGGAATTTTCTTCACAGTAGTCGCGCACGTCTAGGCTCAACGCCAACTTTTGCATACATTTCACCAAACCAAGCGCATTCATCAACTGCATGTTTTCGTGTCTGAGCTAAATCTTCTCCGTCCAGTTACGGTCTATAACGAGAAACACGCAAGGACAGCCAGCGCATATGAACAAATGCATCTTCTTCAGCCTAGACTAGATCTTCTCCATACAGTTACGATCTATAACGAGAAACACCCGAGGCCAGTTCAAACCCTACCTGTCGCTAGTGTACATGTACCATGTCTCCGTCCTCTCAGCACCCATTCTGATGCAAATCCATTCCCTGCCGGTAGGCATTAATCTCATTCCCATCCCAGTATACGGGTGGAATCCAGGACCCGGATCAAGCGCCTCCAAGTAATCTATTGTCACATGGCGCGGGGTCGCAGCTTTTGGCAGTGATTGAATTGTCAAGCTTTCGACCCCGTCACCTTCGTCATTATTTAACAGCTGACGTCGGTGGTTGCCTTAGAGTTCATGAGCAGGGCAACAATGAGACCGTACAGACCTGGTACCGGAGTTAGACTTGGCTATGATGCCATCATTGGGGCGACTTACCGAGAACTTCGGCGAAAATGAGAATAAGAATCATGCCAACAAAGAGACGTGGCTGTTGGGCGGTACCGCGGACACCGGCGTCACCGACAATACCAATGGCGAATCCAGCAGCGAGACCAGAGAGACCGACAGACAGACCAGCACCGAGCTGGATGAAGCCAGTGTAGAGAGGAAGCTTCTGCGTCAGGCCGTCGGAGATGAGGACGGACACGACGAGACCGTAGATACCAATGATACCAGCCATAATAACGGGAACAATGTCTGGAGCTTGTGTTAGCGTTTTACGTGGCAATTGATGTCAATCGGATCGGAAAGTTGCGCACTCTTGACGATAAGGTCAGGGCGGAGGACACCCATGGCGGCGATACCGACACCAGACTTGGCGGTACCGTAGGAGGCGCCCAGGCATGTGAAGACAATGGCACAGGTGCAACCCATGGCGCCAAAGAAGGGCTGCAATGTTTTGTCAGTACGTTTTTGAAGCAGATCGTAGGCCGGCGATGAATGTGAGACGGTCGGCAATCAATGGGCGGGAAAGTCGCTCGAAACCGGAACCCGGGGGTGGGGAGTACGAACCGCATAGACGGGGCTAGGAAATCGGCATCAGTTAGCTTTATATGCTTTCAAAAATGGTATCCGCGCAGGGTGAAGCAAGATTCGCGGGGTAATGGCGATGGCAAGAGCTCGAAACGATGCTTGGAGAGCTTCGCGCGCAGGCCCCCTCAAGGGCGGCAAACAGTGACGTACCAAAGCTCGCTAGACATGGCGACGGCTATTCTGTTTATGAGAATAAAAGAGGGTAGATTCAAGACGAATTCGAAGCTTGGGTCGGTCGAGCGCGAGATGGGGCCGGCAGCGGAGGTCTCGGGCGATGGTTCGATGTCGCGATGAATGGGTGCGTGGGTGTGATGGTTGAGCGAGGTGACGTTCCCTGGCAGACCGAAGCAGCTGGCGGCAGGTTTTTGCTGGCACTGTGGCAGGAGTCAACCTGCCTTACATAACAATCCGCCCCGCAACATTAATTACCCGCTCCGCACCACTGCCTGCCTGGGAGGTTGTCATTGGTCGCACTCGTCTCGAGACAATGGAATCGCCTGAGCGTTGTGCAGGGGAAACGGGCCACTGCTATTTGTTGCTTCTGATTGGTGTCACAAAGCTTGCACGATGGGTTACCTCTTTGTGGTCTTGCGGCGCTGACTTGAGGCCCTCTGGCATGTACGGCGAGTTTGGTCGGGCTTCGAGCGATGAACAACGTACGGCGGAACAACCATCAAACGAATACTAGCCATTGATTGTGCAGATACAGCATAGCAGTCTCAGACTGGAAGCGGAGTTATCGATACTTTTTATCATCTGCCAACGATACCCGACATGTCAGGTCGCCGCATCACAGCAAGGTCCCTAGTTAGCTAAACTGGCCCCAAGGTGTGGATTGCACCTCACTTACTTCCAGGTAGGTACTTGGGTATGCACCAGAAGCCACCTCAGCGCCTCGGCATGGTTAAGCCTGCAGGTCGCATCAAGCCTGCCAACCTGTTTGCCTGCCTACCTACCTACCTACCTTAGTAGGTACTAACGTACGGAGTAGTGCCGACCATGACGCTGTCTCCACACTGTGAACCGCAGTCGCGTCGGACGCCGAGGCGATTACCCCCACCATATGTCATGTTCGTTTTAGTACAACGACGGCACCTACTACTCTCTCCCTCGTCATAATTACTTGTCGCAGGATCCTAGGTATCTTTTTCTCCTGGCGGCGTCTTCTTCTACTTTGACGGCCGCGACTTGGATATATTCATCATGCCTGGTCTCGCGCGCAAGGTCCTCATTTGCGCCGCCGTAGAAGGCCTGATCATCCAGCCGCTTTCCACCAAAGGCCAACGGCCTTTTAAGCCCGTACAAATAAAGTATGCCGATGCATCCATATCATCCGTGTCTAGAGAGCATATTCCGGATATTTCAGCTGCAGACTCTTCTTTCGAAGCATTTGGCGTGATAGGTGAGCGCCCAACCATTCATTAGCAGTCAAATTGCGACCCTAATGTATTTTTAGGCCTGATTACGGTATCGAAACTGAGCTACCTCGTTACAATCACTAAGAGGAAACAAGTCGCCCAGATTTTTGGCTTTCCTATTTATGTCGTTACTGGAGTTGCAGTCACACCTTGCACCTCGGAACCAGACGCGACCGCCTCGATCCGTCGCACGGTGAGATGGCTTGATGATGGGCCCCCCAAAGCAGATCAAGATATCGAGAGCAGCGACGAGGATGTGGAGCTACCATCAGCGTCAGCCGACGAGATCGACGATGGTGAGAGTGATGGAGGTGATAACGACCTTCCATCCTCTCGAAGCAGCGTCGCCGAGGATGTGATTCGTCGAAAGGGTAGCTATGGTAGGTTCGCACAACGCTGGTTCAGCGCCCGAGGCTGGACAGTAGATCAAAGGCGAACACTGGGCCTCAGCGATACTTCAAACAATTCCAAGCTGCCAGAGACATTGGGCGGCCCTAGAAAGTTACCCGTAACTGAAGAGGACGCCCAGGGACCCGCTACCGCGCTGCTGCCAAAGCTCTTGAGAGCAATGTACATCCTTTTTGGAAAATCGCGAAGCTTCTACTTTTCGTACGACATGGACATCACACGCCGTCTCTCCAACAAATCACAAGCCGCGCAAGCGGATGTTCCGCTTTACACTGGAGCAGATGAAGTATTCTTTTGGAATAAGCACATGATTCGTCCGCTCATTGAGGCTGGCCAAGACGACCTTGTTCTTCCACTGATGCAGGGGTTTGTTGGGCAGAAGACATTCATTGCTGATCGCAGCCCACCTCAAGTCGATGAGCCCAAGATGGAGTCTGTTGAGCTAAGCAACCTCACACTAAAAGAGCCTCCGGTGAACTCTGCCAGTTCGCGAAATTCTCTCGAGTTGCGGCCCTCGGAGAGCAAATACTCTTTGACACTCATATCACGCCGATCAACGAAACGCGCAGGCTTGCGCTACCTGCGTCGTGGCATTGACGAAAACGGGTTCTCTGCCAACATGGTTGAGACGGAGCAAATCCTGTCCCGCTCTAGTTGGGATAACTCGTTTCCGATTTATTCGTTTATTCAAATCCGAGGCAGCATCCCGCTATTCTGGACCCAAACTGGGTACGCGCTGAAACCAGTGCCTGTTCAGCAGCATTCAGCAGACGAAAACTACAAGGCACTAAAGATGCACTTTGAGAGCCTAGCAAGAAACTATGGACTGGTGCAAATCGTCAATCTAGTTGAGAAGCAAGGGGTTGAGAAGTCGATTGGCGATGCCTATGAGAAGAATATTTTACGCCTGAATGAAGAAGGTAGCTGTGGTCGCGTACCATTTGAGTGGTTCGATTTCCATCATGCATGTCGCGGCATGAAGTTTGAGAATGTCAGCGAGTTGCTCTTGTTACTAAAGAACAAGCTGGAAGAGATGGGCAGCACAGTGCAGAAGGGTGGAAACGTCACGACTTCTCAAAGCGGTACTTTCCGCACCAACTGCATGGACTGCTTAGACCGAACAAACGTTTGCCAGAGCTCTTTTGCAAGGCATATGCTGGAAGTGCAGTTGAGGGCCGAAGGGATAGATATGAGTGCACAGCTGGACCAGGAGACAATGTGGTTCAACACTCTGTGGGCAGACAATGGTGACGCGGTTTCGAAACAGTATGCTTCGACAGCCGCTATGAAGGGTGACTATACCCGCACTCGGAAGCGCAACTACATGGGCGCTCTAAATGATGCCGGTTTGTCGGTTGCACGCTTATACTCTGGGTATGTTGCATGATTTGCTGCCAAAAATAATACTGATAAACAGCAGAATGGTAAATGATTACTTTAGTCAAGCGGCCATTGACTTTCTGTTGGGGAACGTTACCGGCAAAGTATTTGACGAATTTGAAGCCGACATGATGACCAAGGACCCTGCAGTCTCCGTCACGAGGATGCGAATCCGTGCGATTGATCTCTGCCAGAAGCGCGTGATTGCAAATGCAGAAGAAGAGGTTCATGGAGGCTGGGTTCTCATTAGCCCCAATGCCGCCGATGTAGTCAAATCATTCCCGATGGAAGAAGTGGTACTGTTGCTGACCGATGCGGCGCTATATTTGTGTCGATTCGACTGGGATCTCGACAAAGTATCGTCATTTGACCGGATCGATTTAGCAAATGTGACGGGCATCAAATTTGGCACGTACATCTCGTCTACGGTATCGACCGCACAGATGGACGAGCTGCGAAATGTTGGGTTTGTGCTGTCCTATCAGCCCGGAAAGAGTGACGTCAAACGGACCAACACTCGAACCATATCATCACAGCAAGACTTGATTGTTACGCCCACTGTAGACACTACGGAGAGTAGTGTGAAAAGACAATCCGGGTTGGTTGGTTTTTTCTCTCCACGGTCCAAGGGGCCCACGGGGAGACAGTTTGCCTTCAAGGCCACATATACAGACTCCTCAACAGCGGCAACTCGGCCCGGCCCGAAGCAAACAGAAATCCAGCAGGTTGTGACAATTTGCTCTGAAATCGAAAGGCTTGTCTTGGATAGACAGCTCCGAAAAGATGGGGAAGAGCCAAAGAGCATCATTGAGAAGGGCGACATTATTTCTCTCGACTCTGCCAAGCGAGACACTGGATTGCTTGAGCAGCTTGGGCACACTATTAAAAAGCTAGTCTGGGCATAGAGTAGAATCCTACATACCTATATGAAAGATGGTAGAAGTGAAGCAGCTTTATTGTCATTGTCATAAACGGGCATGAATTATGTTGGTGTCTTGTCTATCCTATACAAATGCAATTGATATCGCATATTCTCCAACTGGATTAGGTACTTTAACTGATCAGAGAGCCGAAACCATATCGAGTCGTGCGATTCCAGCCTTGTCCATTCCGTCGACGCGCTCGCCGGCTTCGTGAGCGTGTGGTGCAGCAGCCACTGCATCGGGTACTTTTTTTCGTCCTTGCCCAGCGAGGCCTCGGAGTAGCTCCCGGGGCTGTCGACGACCAGCAGCAGCGACCCATCCGGCAGCGCGGCCTCGAGCGCCCTGAGAAACCTGGTCGTCTGCGCGATGCCCCCCTCAGTGTACAGCTCGTTGAGCGTGAACAGGAGCGTGACGACCACCGGCGCGCTCCCCGGCGCAAACATGTCGGCCCACTGCGCCTCTGAGACGTGCAGCACGTCCTGCCGCACGACGCGCAGACGCAGCTGCTCCGGACTCTGCGCCAACAGCGGCGCGTTGGCGGCGTGCGCCGACGCGGACGCGTACGGGGACAGCGGCAGCGGCGTCGTGAGCGCGCGCAGCACCGTGTCCGCGACGCCCTCCCACGGCGCCGCGTCGACC